AATAATAATAATAATAATAATAATAATAATAATAATAATAATAATAAACAACCCGTTTTTTTTCTGCCATCAGAGACAAATGAGCGATTTGAGGATCGGGGTCACGCGAGACGAGACCGCGGTATATTTCCTTGGCCATGGACCGATCCCTTTCGCTAGGCCCAATTGCTGTTAGCCCTGGGCGAGGAGGAGGAGGAGGAGGGGGGGGGGGGGGACGGAGCGGCTTCGGAGGGCTTCCCTTCAGACTCGGAGCCCCGAGGACCGCCAGGCCCGATCTGCTTTCCCGAGGTTCTTAGTCTCCTCCCCACCTTTGCGCCAGCCTGACTGAATTCGACCCTCCCAAAATAAAATAAATGCGTGGATCTGCCAAAAATGAAACCGGAGGGTAAAACAGATTTTCCAAGATAGACCAGAAGCTGGACTAAAATTAAACAAGGGTTAAGCAGAAGAGAACGAAGTCCGAAAATAGAACCACCGACCGAAAAACGGGAGAGGGGCAAGCAGGTTTTCGAACACGTTTGTCTTCCGATTCCCAATCAGGCCAGCAAAATCGACCGACGTTTTTTTTTTTTTAAATCCCCGCGACTGTCTAAAACCCGAACGGAGGCTTGCAAAGCCCGGCCGTGAGAAATGTTGCTGAGGAAGGACGTGGGAAACGAACGAGAGAGTTACCTGAATGCCTCTTCTCCCCTATTTCTAAATGGTTCGTAAACGAGGCCTCGCGATGACTTGGGCCCTGGGTTGCTAACGCCCATTTTTCGGGTCGACTTCCGACGACGGTCGGGGGAAGGTTCGCGTGATTTGCGGCTCCTTCCTTTCCCGCCCCGATCCTCCGTCTCTTGAGCGGCTTGCGCTTTTTCTGAACGCTACAGATGCACGCACCCGTTCACTTCCGAGATTGAAGCCTGCCAATCATACCCGAGCCGAACTAATCCCTGTCCTCGGGTTCTGTAAGTTAGTGAAACCGACATGGATACACAAAGGCGTTGCGGTTAGACGGCTTTATACATCGAATAAAATGCATACACACGCACGCGCCGGTAGGGCAAATTGCTACGTAGACAAGCAGTCACCAACCCCCACTTCCCAGGGGAGAGCACTGATGGCGTTCCCTCGTCTGGTAATGCAACGTCTGCAAGAAGAAAAGTAAGTTCAGAAAAGAAAAAAAGAAAAAAAACACCAATATACACATAGAGGTGGGGGCGAGGGCGGGGAGAAAGGCGAAGTCAAAAATCGCCCAAAAGACACAAAGAAAAAACTCCGGAAGCCAAGAAGAACTAAAGAAGTGGATTCTGTAGAAACCCGCGGAGAAGAGTTTGATCCAAGCAGGTTTCGAGTGGAAACGCCGCCTGGGCCGCCCCCGCAAAGTCGCAGCTGCTGGGGGGGCCCTTCTGGATTTTGGCCAGAGAATTGGGCCAGGAATGGAGATGGGTAAACCAAAACCGGCATCGGGGCAAACGAGGCATAAGTACATAAGCAAAACCCGCATTGGTAGAAGCTTAACAGCGTTAGCATTTAATGTATTATTAAAGGAAATATTAGCATAAGGGGAGAGTAATGGTATTGCATTATCTATCAACGGCAATCATTCGCGTGCGCCCGATTTATCCTTCTTGGCTTTTACTTCATCCGAGATTTCAGCCGAAACACGAGAAAAGGACTTTTCCGCAGTACACAACAAAACAGAAACAAAAACAGCGACGGCTTTGCAACTGGACCGGGCTGAGATGGGGGAGGCAATAGGGGGCTTGCTTGTTTGGGGAGATTCCGCTGCAGACGTGACAAAAAGGCCAGCGCGAGAGGGATCCAGAGCCTTCCCACTCCTTTGCAGGCTGGGATCCTCTGGCTCTGGAGAAAAAAACTTGGGAAAGCGGAGCCCACGAAGTCAAAAGGCCGCAGAATCGTTGAAATCGCTTCGCCTGGGATTGCACTTGCTGGAAAACCTCGGAGAAAAGATAGTGGGTTTTTTTCCAACTCCCGTCCGGGACCGACGCCTTCTAGCGGAGGAACAATAGCCGAAAACAGCGCTCTAACTTTTCGTGGCTTTGAGAAAGTTGCTGGGCCAGAGTCGCTGGGGCAGATAAAATAAGTTTAATTAAATTATTGTGATAGTTCTTTGCGCAGTCAAGCCAGGTATTTAAATTGGGTTTGGCCCTTTTTGTCCACCTATCGAGTCCTTCCCGATAACCCGTGATAGGCAGGTGTTTGTGAGTTAATGGTGTTAAGGATATCGTCGCAAGATGATATTATTATTATTATTATTATTATTATTATTATTATTATTATTATTACCAAGCTGGAGATTGGCCATATGGGAATTGGCAACGCTGGGTCGGGCGAGGGCTTGCCTCCCCCTCTTTTGCCTTGGGAGAAAACGGGTTAGAAAAAACGACGACAAGGAAGGTCTCTCCTCTCGACACGGGTTTCACGTTCGCGCAGGTTCTGCACCCCCGATCCTTTCTCTCTGGAGGGCGCGGAGAAGAACCGAGGGAGCCGGATCAAGTAAGAAAGATACTCGGGGGCAGGGAGCCACCCACATTCTTTCCCCGCTTTCCACAGGCCTGTTGACCCCCAGCCTCCCAGCTTCTCCACGGGCAGCCAGGCCTCCGGGCCCCTGAAACGGAACAACGGCAGCTTTGTTCTACCTCGGATTCAGGAGAGGCCCGTGAAATATTAGGGAAGATCGATTCTCAGCCGGGAGTGGCTCGATGATCTCCGAAGGGGGGGATTTTATTTTATTTTTTTTAAGCATTCGTCTTTAAGCCGGTCTCCACACTGCGCGCTCAACCGAGGCCGCTCCGGATCCCACTAAACGCACCTGCTCCGTTTGTGCCAAGCCTGCTTGGTGGTAGCACTTCCTATGGTGAGGTTGTGCGGGTCAGATTCAAGAACTGCCCCGGGTATCCCGCGTGGACGCCGCCTCCTTTTTCCTCCCTCAAAAAAGTCCTTGAAAAGTCAACGCTCATCCAGAGGGGCAACCTGGTATTACACGGCCTGCGCTTAAGGACGGTTTGATCCGCAGGAGCCACCAAACCTTTCATCCTCAGTCGAAAAGCAAACGGGCTTTCGCTGCCCGCCGCCCCGCTGTGCTTCTTGGGCCCTCAGATGTCCAAGCAAACGCGCATCTGGGCCTGCAAAAGGCCCAAGGCCCGACTTTGGGTCAGCCTCGCCGTGGTTTCCAGAAGCCTCTTTCCGAGGCCCTTTTCTTTTAAGTGCCTCACTAAGGCTCCCAGGGAGGAAGGAAGGAAGGGGGGGGGGATTCGGCGGACCAGGCTTGGAGGGTATCTTAAGAGAATGTTTCCCGTGATTCGCGGGCTCGGCGCGCTAAGTAAGCCGCGGTTTCTGTGAACGTGGTTTATACTGAAGTGCTCGTGATTGCCTGGCATCATCTAACTCTGGATAGGATGATCTTGTGGGATCATCCACCCAACAACCCAAACCGGCCGTTGTACTAAAGCGACCCTTTGCTCAGCTCCGCAAGACACCCTTCCGGCCAAGCAGGGTTTTTTTAGGCCACTGCGCTCCGAGGGTCCAATGCGAGGAAGAGGAGGAGGAAAAGGAGGAGGGGGCAAACCCGGCTCCCAAACGGGTTGGCCTAAAGAGTGGGCCATGGGCCAGGCCTAAAGAGTTCCCAAACGGTGCCAGGCCTTGTGTCGCGTCTACACGGCGCCCTGCGAGGATTGCAAAGGGAGCGAAAGGAGGAGAAAGCCGAGAAGGCCCAACCCGCTTCCCCTGTTCGGCGACACACACATACACACACACCCCACCCTCACCCCGGTAGATCCCAGGCCCAGCGTCCGCGGGACTCACCGCCACTTGGTCCTGCGGTTCTGAAACCAGGTCTTGACTTGGGCGTCGGTCATCTTGAGCGACTTGGCGAGCGCCGCCCTCTCGGCCGAGGCCAGGTACTTTTGCCGGTGGAACCGTTTTTCCAGCTCGCAGATCTGCACCCGAGAGAAGGAGGTGCGCGGCTTCTTGCGCTTGGGCGGAGTGCGGTTCTGGTAGGGGTGCCCGATCCTCCGCGTCACCGTGAAAGGCGTGAGCGCCGCCGCTGCTGCTGCGACAGAAAGGGACATCGGGTCAGCCAGGCTGGGCGCCGGATTTGGGGTGGGTGGGGGAATGGAGAGTGGCGCCGGCCCAAGAGGGGGCCCCTTAAACCTGTAGCCGCTGGAGGCGGCAGGGTCGCTGGCTGCTTTCTCCTCCGCCCCCTTTAAGGAGGCCGGCGAGTGACTCTGGCGAGGCACGGACTCGGGGAGTGACCCGGAGCAGCCTCTCGGAAAGCCCCGCGGCCCGCAGCACCCACGGCTGGGAGGAGGTGGGGGTGGGGGTTGGGTTGGGCAGAGGGGCTGGATGCTCGGTGGCAGGTGACAGCCCTCCCCCCGCCCGCCCCCACTGACACCATGTGCTCGGGCGGGGGGCGAAAGGGGTGGCTTGTCCCGCCCCTTGTGTCAGCCCGGCTGGTGGTGCTGTTGGGGAGGGAAGCGAAGCAATTCCGAATCGATTAAAGACCTACAATATGGAAGACTCTCTCTCTCTCTCTCTGTGTGTGTGTGTGTGTGTGTGTGTGTGTGTCTAATCCTAGAGTCTGTGATGCAAGAAAATCGGGGTAATATGAAAACAAACAGAAATCCGTATTTATTAATTTTAAATTAAAAATAGAGCGATGATCTCGAGCTCCAAGGGCAAAGCCAAACGGAGGCTTTGGGGCCATGGGAAATGAAGAGGGGCCAACTTGAGACGGAAAAAGTTCTCCTCTCCAGCCTCCGAAAAAGGGAAAAGAAGGCCACCTAATTTTGCCTGCTTTGTGTTTGTTTCGTTTGTTTCCTGGTGTCCCACGCCTCGGAATATAAAGTATATTGCAGAGGGAAGAAAAACAGTTGGTTCCTGCAGCGGGAAATCGAACTCCGCCAGTAATTCTAAAGGTGTCTACAAATCCATCCTAGCTATTATGCATATTACTTCTGAATAATTATAATATAAAATGATATAACATAATATAAAATAATTAATTATATCATATCCCTTATTATAATATTATAATAATATAATAAAGGGTTTAGGGATTTCCCGTATTTTTTCTTCTTGGAAAAAAATACATACCATGAAAGTTATTTATAGTAACTTCTTCTCCCTTTTACCCACAAATGTAAATTGTGTTGAAGTGACACAAGCACACTCAGAACTTGTGATCTGATTAGCCGCTTTGCAAGGTGAAGCTAACCTTATCCACTTAACCCCCTGCTTCCCCCGTCCTAATTGGCTTAATCCTGTTTTCATTGGAAGTACTTAAATCTTCATAAATTTCTTTTGTTCTCTTTATCGTCCTCGCCCATCTCTTAGTGCTAATGCCGTAATCGGGTTAGACACAGCCATTTACTCGCCTTCCTTCGCCCTTCCACGACAGGCCTGAGGAAATCGTCTCGAGGATTTCTTTATTCTGAGTACGGCGAGATTTAAGGTTTCCTCCCTTGATCATGTTGGAGTTTTTTTTTGGGGGGGGGGAGGAGGAAAGATCACTCGATCTCCGGAAGAACTCAAGACAATCCCTTTTGTCGTCCTGAAACAGGACCACCCAAACAGATCCCACTTTTCACGCCTGGATATGCTCAGCAGTTGGCCAGGGAAAAGGAAAAATTAGGAAAGCCGGCAGAATGGCCGGTCGGCCAATTTTCCTAGCATCACGCGCCTTATATATTGTTTTCGGCTTTTTACACAACCGTTCTCTCCTTTCTCCGCCGGAGAAAGACCGTGAAAGAGCCAATTTCTCGCGCGCGCCCGCCTGCTCCTCCGCGCAGGAGTCCTAACCTCACCGACCGACTGTCTACCTGAGAGCGCTCGCCAGCCCGGCCGCCGCCGCCACTTACCTGTGAATCTGTCTTTGACGAACCGCCTGCTGCTCTCCATCCAAGGGAAGTTGAGGCTGCCAAGGCTGGGTACAGCTGGCATGGCTGGAATGGCACTGGAAATTGGAGGTGGCACTGCCCCAGGGATGGGTCTGTGCGCTGGCACCCGGATCACGCCAGATGGAGCCAAGCTGAGATTCACACTGTAAGATCCAGAGTCTTCGAAGGGAGCCCCGATGCCAGCAAAGGCGCCGGGGAGGGAAGGGTACGGGCCGCCGCTTCTGCTGCTCACGGGGCTGCCCAGGTAATTGGTGCCGCCGTCTGATCCTCGGGGGGCGGGCTGGGAAGGGGTCTCCTGATCAGAACTATTTAAAATCTGATCAATCCCGAAGCTGATGGGCTCGTGTTGATGCGGTGTCTGCGTGTTCGTTGGCTGATCCATCCTTGGTGAATAGAAAATATTGGCTCAATCGGGGGGGAGAGGGGAGAGAGGGGAGAGGAAAAAAAAAACCCCGGCAAGAATTTCCCCTATAAAAACGCTCCCTTCCTTTTTACAGTAGATCCATGTAAGGTCCTGGTTTGTATAGATGTCACACTGAAACTTTGCCAAGAGTGGTCCAGCCCGACAGACTCTGTGTCATCTTTTTTGAACCAAACCTTCAGTTTCTGCTTCTAATTTCTCTCCGACAGCTGCCATTGGCCACAACAAACAAGCCTCTCTCCTCCCATTGGCTCCCGGGTTTCAATAAAGGCCTAATTCATTGGAATAGGAGCTTAGGGACTGTTCCATGGTGACATCATTTTAACAAACGCACAATAGGTCAAATTTATTAGCTAAGCTAATGTGGGGCGGATATTGCAATGCGCATCTGCGACGGTTGTCTTTCGAAATTAGCCAGATGAAATTGAACAAACCTTTGCAATTACCCAGGCGAGCCGCTCCCTCCCCCCCCCCCCCCCTTCCCCCCCCCCGAACCATTAACCAAAGGGGCGAGTTGAGCAGAATTCCAAGATGGGGCCGGGAGGGGCGGCCCCCCCCCCCCCCCCCCCGCCCAGCCACCCACTGCGAGGGGGGGAATTAAGTGGGGATCCACCTAAATCTATCTTAGCATTCTTTGTTTATAAACACATCCTACGGAAAGGAAGCCCCCCTCCACCCCCCAGAAAGGCACCAAGTGGAGGCACCAAATGCCTTGGGGACGCTCCGCCCGAATTTGGAACTGCCCAGTTACACTTGGAACAGATATTCCTGCTGGTGGTGGTGGGCCTGGAATGAAAAAAGCCCAGAGTCTGAATTTGAAACCCAACCTTCTCCTTCTACAGTCACACACTCAAAGTCCTTTATGCTTTCTTTTTTTGGCCCGTCTTAAAACGACAAGCCCAACAAGACTTTCCAGGGCTAGAAATCCAATTTGGAGCTCCGAGAAAACCTGCCTTGGGTGGCCTGGAGAGCAGGCATTCAATGCCAACCGCAGATTGCATCTGATAACGGGGATTGACTTTAGAATTAGGGTTTTCTAAAGTTACACAAAACGGGCTGGAATACACCCATATGCAGATGTGCATAAGTGCAGGTGCATGCATGCAGATACCCAAAGTATCCAACAGATTGCATAACAATTGTGAGCGTTTTCCTGAAGAAACAGGAAAGAGGTCCATCCCCTTTCCATTCTCGCCGCCCCCTCCCCAAATATCGCCAAATATTCCCCTTAGTTTGCTTGAATACAGACTAGCCTGCATAAAAAAACAGACACACCATTTCCTGGATGCTTTCTTTTTTTAATCTGCTTTCATTACACTCTGGGTCAGGACATTGGTTTTCTGTGGCTATTATTGTTATTATTTTTTTTACATTCCCAATTCTTTCTGCCTCTTTTTAAAAAGGGGAGGGGTTCACTTTTCCTTCGGTGGGGTTAGTTGGCCTTTGCTTGGGTCAGCCCATCGATCGCAAAAGCTGGGGGAAGGGGAGGAAGGGAGCACCCTAAAAAGAGATTCCGTTTTGGATTAATTTATGTCAGCCCAATTTATTGCCACGCTGCCTGGGTTTTGTGAGTTTGGAGATGCTCCCTAACGTCCAAATTGGACTAAAAGCGTTAAAAATTAAATAACGTTCAAATGCATTTACTTAGTTTCCCCTTTATAAAGGGAAATGAAAACAGGGAATAGAATTTTCTTTTTAATAGAATGTAATAGTATTTGATCAGCACCTGTTAGGGCGGATTTCATGATTCAGAAAAGCGGTGACAAGGAGGGAGTATATTAGTTTTTAAAGCTTAGGATTCAATTACCGCAACACACTGAATAATTTAAGTGGCAACAGTAAATGCAAACAGACCTGTGGAGTTTATTGGGCTTATTGCACAGAAAAGGCTGCAATATTACTTTCGCCCTTCCTTATTTTCCCCGTCCATTCCTCCAGGTCTTTTCTTCCCCTTTGAATCGGCTTTTCTAGAAGAGCTCAAAAGGAAAACAACCCATTTCATCTCCTAATGTGTGTTTCTTAATATTTAAGACTATTTGGGTTGTTGTTTTTAAACAGCAGCAAGACAATTTTCCAATGGTAGGATGTTTTAATTAAGGATTTTTTTTAAAAAAACTATTTATTTATATATTGAAACACACAGTCCGTTTGGTTCTTCACAGAAGAACCGTTGTTGTTACGACGATCAAAAATAATTTGATAATTATATCAAAAGCAAACGTTCTTCTGAAAAGGAACAAACTGATTTTTAATACCACCTTTGCATTTGGAACTGAAATTAAGTGTTTCTCAATCCTGAGGTGGTTGGGCGAATAAAATATCCCGGGACTTGACTGGAAGCCGGACAGGGTCAGGCGACCTGCTTCTGCTGGTTCCTTTGGCTTCTGAGCAGACTCAAGCGGGACTGCTGAAGGGGCGCCTCGGTTTCATACCCTGCCCATTTTTCGTGGCGGCGGCGGCAGGTTCAGGGGATAGATGGAAGGAAATTCAAGGTCTCCATGGCCACTTTCGCCTGCAAGGAGAGCGTGGCTGAAAAAGACTCCGGCCAGCCTTCTCTCTCTTTGAAAGGAGGCCGGCTTCGACAGGACAAGTCTCAGACATAGCAAAGACCCATTTTTGACCATCAGATCTTTCTGCCTTCTCTAGCTTATCCGGGAATCCCGCTTCAAGCCCTCCATCCATCCCGAAGCAAGGAAAGCCCTAGCGAAAATTTGGTTTCTCTGTGTTATCGAGCGCTTCCTCCTTCTTGCAGGGCAGGGGTTGAAGGCGATGTAGCAATTCCCGAAGGAGGTTACCATTTTAAAAATATATTCAAGTATAATTTTGGGGGAAAACTCATAATGAACAACAGGGGCCCCTGGTTTAAATTTTATATTTTTTTATTTCATATATTTATTCGTTCAACAATATTTTTAACCCCCGATCACGACCAAAACACACCCTTCTTCCACGGCGAACCGCAGGGCAATCATGCGTGGAGGTAAAACAAACAAACAAACAAAAAGGAATAAAAGAGAGGTGACATTAATTGTCGAGCAAGGAAATGGCATTTCGAAATGGGTGGAAGTTGGGGAAAACGCTTCTACTTAAACGCCTGTCTTTAAAAAAAAATAGCAACGAAGCACCGAATTATTCTTTCTTCAGCTTTTTATAGGCATCCAAAAGAAAATCCCATTGGTGGATTACACGACCAGGCAGTTTTCTTTGTACTAACCTACAAAGCGATCGGTTTTTTTCCCTGATGTTCCTCCCCCTCCCTCCCATTGCAATCTACAGCCGTGAGATTCCCTGGTGGCCTCCCATCCAAAAGCTAACCAGGCCCGGCACTCCGGAATCTCCCAGCACAGCCCTCCGCGAGACGCCGTCCTTCTCTGGCCACACCCCTTTCGGAGCAGCCAAAGGGCCAAGCGGGCCTTCGTGGTGGTGGTGGTGGTGGTGGTGGTGGTGGTGGGAGAGAAGAGGGAGGGGGAAGGCAAAGGAACGAGGCGGGGCCCGATCCGGGGGAAATAGCCGCCTCGGTTGCCGTTTCTGCAAGCCGGTGGCGCTGCCAGCTTTGGCTCCGGTCAGGAAGCGTGTTGCGAGCGGCAGCGCGGGTGGAATGCGGCGGGTCTTCCTTTCCCAGCTAATCCGATTATAAAGGGAGGAAAAGAGAGCGGCGTCCGGGGCAGAGCCAGCTCGTTTCCCCCTGGAGCCTGGCTGCTCTTTCGGAGAGGCCCACGCCCCGGAGGGAAAGCGGGTTGGGCTCCCTTGCAAGAAGGGACGGGACCAAAGAGAAGCGAGCTATCCCTGGATCCCTTCTGGACAAAGAAGCGCGCAAGGCAGGCGGGAACACCTTTGGACTTCCGAGGTTTCCACGTCGTGTGCGTGTAAAGAGGCACACACCAACACACTCCTTCCCTCTTTTTTCCCCCCCAGTGTATATAATTTGTGTGTTTGTATATATATGTGTGTGAAGAGAGGTTGGGGAGAGAGAGAAACTCGCGGGCCTCCGGTCTGGCGGAAAAGCCGTCAGACTCGCACGTCTAAAATTAAGCACCCTGGACAGCGCTTTGCAGTTCTCTCTTCCCCAAGTCTCCGCTCCTCCCCTGCGTGGTCGAGACGCCCAGACTCGGGAATCCGCATCCAGGACATACCTCCAGTTGGACAGAGTTGAGCGAGAAAACAAGAGTTCAATCTTCGTTAAGGTCCGGTCCAGAGTTCTCAAGGAAGAAGAAAGCAACGCGAAAGCCAAGAAAGAGGCAGATGGGGAGGGGAAAGTGTGCTTAAGAAAGGCTCCGTGTGGACGCTGGGAGTTGATGTAGGTCTACTCCTAATTTGTGCCCGATAAAAACCTCCCATGCCTGCAGATTGTCTTTGAGTTGACTCGTTGAAACTAGGGTTCTAATCGAGGTGATGGGGTGCGGGGTGGGAGGTGGAGCCTTTAATCAGCTAAAAAGTGTGCGTGTGCGTGTGTGTGTACAGTATAAGTATACGAATCTATGAAAACTACGTATATGCTGTATTTGAGAATCCTTCATTCCGGATATAACGACGCAAGGTATTTAACGGAAGACAATTTACCGGTCCTTGCCGGGAAGAGCGTACAGTATCCGAAACAACATAAAGGAACTACGGAGGAAAAGGAGACGGAAACAGAGATGGGCAGAAAGAGAGAGAAGGGCCAGATAGTTGATCGGGTGGGTGGGTGGGGGGTGGTGGAACCGTGGCCCTCCAGAGACTGCTGAACTACAAATCCCAGCCTCGCTCACCATTGGCCCTTCTAGGTGGGGGATGCTGGGAACTGGAGTTCAATAACAGCTGCATAAAACACGCACTTAGAAACCCGAACGGGCACCCTCGGGTAAGTGGGCCTGGGAGAAGCAAAGGGGGGATGGGGGGGGAGAACCCAAGATCGTGAGGAAGAACACGTCCCGTGAGCAACGCCAGCTCGCCCACTTGCCCAGGTGGGCTTCGTCTCTCCT